CGGCGAAGCAGAAGCATGCACCCGGCATCACGTTTGCGGGGTACGTGCCGATGAGAAAGCTCGGCAAGGGCGCACGTCGGAGGGGATTTGGCGCGCCAGTAAACTAAACGTCCCGCAGCCTACAGCTAGTGCTTGGAGCATACATTACGCTCGACATGCTGGCTGGCTATTGGCCGGACAAGTTTAAAGTCTGGATTTGATTGATCCGTCCGAGTGCGGATATGATGGATTGCCGGTCGTGTTACGTGCGTGCGACGCGACGATGACGATGACGTGTAGAGCGAAATAGCCGAGGGAGGCAGGCATGAAAGGACCGGCGGACCGGTACGTGTTGCGCAACAACAACCGGCCCGTCCTCGCTTGAGCTCATATATTAGCTTTGCATGGTTGTGTACGTTGAGAGGAGAGCGCTGCGAAGGGGGCGCAATTTTCTCTCCGATCATCCATCACCTACTTACTCCCCTTGACTGTTGCCCCTACAAGCATCACCCTGCTCGACACTTGGGGTTGCAAAATTGCAACAGAGCATCATATAGACGCAGCTCAGCTCCGCGCACTGATCCATCTCCTACTCTGCCGAGCATCGCTGCAGCAATGTCATCCAGCGATCCCAAGAGGAACGTCGGAGGGGCAAGCGAGCAGCAGGAATCTCCAGCTGCGGAAGCAGAATGGCAATCCGCTCGACAAGCTTTCGGCTCAGCAGAAGCGCTGCCATTTGCGAGCTTGCGACCGGTCAAGGAGATTGACGAAATTTTGACAAAGCTGCCGGGTAGCCCGTTTGAGATTGAGGAAAAGGTCATCAAGGGTGTGCTCACCAAGACTTGGAAGAACTTGCCTGCTAGCGTTGCACAATTTTGGGCTGGATGCGCTCAGGTGAGAAGAAAGTCTGCTTCGAACGGCTGCCTGCCCTTCATTCCTGATGCTTAGCGATCGAAGCAAGTGGCGTGGCGTGGCGTGGCGTGGCGTGGCGTGGCAAGGCGTGGCAAGGCGAGTGTGGCATGGTGCTGGTCTGCTGCATGCTGATCGAGCTACCTGCATGGCTTTGCGCTTCTTCTCGCATTCATATCTGCGCAGCTTTATGGAAACAGAGAGTACCTGGTGTACGAAGACGTGCGAGTGACCTACAAGGAGGCGTGGCAACAGAGCTTGGTCATCGCTCATTGGCTCAGGTCTCAGTTCGCTGTTCGAAAGGGCGACAAGGGTGAGTCTGATCGAGCGCCGTTATTCGTGATGGGCGTGCATGCATGCATATGCGGCCGTGGGCGGGTATAGCAAGCAGCTAGGGGACGAAAGTCGTCTCATGTGTCTCGGTCTCTACATCCTTTCCTCGCCGCCCGCGGCCACGCCGCAGTTTGATGGAATGCTGATGCATGGCAGCACGTATACGCTTGCTGGCGAAAGCTGACTGTAGAGCTGCCTCTTCTTGATTAATTGCTTTGATGGGTGCATGCAAGTGGGATTGCTTATGCGAAACATTCCCGAATTCGTGATTGCCTACTTTGCTATCCAGCTGCTGGGCGGCGTAGCCGTCGTTCTGAACGCCTTTAGCGACTCGGACACGCTAGACTTTTGCGTCAAAGATGTGCAGTGCAGGGTCTTGTTGCTGGACCCAGAAAGATTGCACAGGATCCAAGCGATATTTCCCAGACTGTCGGATGGTCTAGGACATGCTGGAAGCGTAGAAGGCATCGCCGTATGCCCCAGAGATGGCAGGATGGTGTTGCCAAAGGAAAGACGAGCGTGGATGGATGGCAAGTTGGGCCCGCTCGTCTTTGATTGGCAAGAGTTGCAGCACCGCTGGAGCCCTACGCTGCAGCTCAGACCTCCACCTGTCGTCGTGCAGCCGGAAGATCCATCGACCATCTTGTTCACCAGCGGCACCACTAGCAGACCCAAAGGCGTCATTTCAACCCAGCGGCAAGTGAATTTGATGTCCGAGCATTGCAAGCTATCCTGCGCATGTGCAAGCTGACGCGCTGCCGCCCGCCCGCTCCTTTTTTAGAACTTGTCGTCCATGCCACTCAGCTCGTATGGCACTGCGCGAGCATTCTTGAGAAGACATCGCGCATTGCCTTTGCCTGCTCCTGATACTCAACAGCGATGCGTGTGAGTGGTGCGCCTGCCCTTTGCGCCCGTATTTTGTGTCTGATGGACTCTGACGCGGCGGCAGAGCTACATTTTTACTCCCCCCCCCC